CACTCCGGCTTGCAAAACACTGCCCAAAACATTGTCTTCCCTAATTAAATTATCTCATTAGCATGAAAAGCAAACGAAAGGAAGCCAAATGCCAAGAGCTGCCGTGTTAAAGGCCAGCTCGTGCAGGGTTTGTGCAGGAAGACTTGCACGGCAGAGCCGGTGGCCAGCACCTTGGCACGGGGGCTGGCAGGATGACAGCTGGTGGCCAGGGTCCAGGGGTGCCTGCCGGGGACAGGTGGGGAGGGGAGACAGGGACACGACTGGATTTCTTCTGGGGAAATGGGCCATCTTCTCAAAACGTGTGAAGTGCCTGCCAGGACCTGACATACCTAATCTTGCCTAAGACTTCATAGTTAATAAAGCAGAAATGTAGAATAAGCTACTGTCAGTGTTGCCAAATGTCACAAAATAAATCTCACAAAATTTAATTAGCAGGATTTTGGCTCCTTTGGAGATGGTTTTTTAGGTGGGTGAGGGGAGGTGGGAGGAGAAGGAGTCTAGGTCTTCAAATTACATTTTGGACATGGCAGAATAAATCTCCTTTTATTTACTACTGTTCTCAGTTTTCCAGACCCTAAATGAAGACTGATCGATCAGTCAAAACTATTACAGGAGAAAGCTCTCTGCCAAGGTAAGGGTTAAATGAAGCGTATTTTACAGCATAAGATCTCTGGATCACTTGCAGTGCTGCAAAATGCAGAAGAGGTACTTCAAATTTCCCTCTTAGAGGATATTTTTGGGTCATCCCACCCCATCACTGCTCACATTTAAAAAGCTTCAGCCAGCACCAGGTGAAGTAGTAAATTTTCTCTTCCAGGACTGATGTCCTCTGACCACACAGAATTTTCTGACACACATTTTGTTAAAAGGAGACACGTATCATTCCCCCAAATCAAGAGCACATGTACACTTACAGCACAAAACAGTCCCTAACCATCTGGCATATAAAAGAGCTTATTCCATGAAAATTGCCTCAGGAAAAAAAAAATAAAATAAACATTAAATCATAGAATCAGAGTAATTTAGGTTGCAAAAGACCTTTAAGATCACCAAGTCCAGCCATTAAACAGTGCCAGGTCCACCACTAAACCCTAAGTGCCACATCCACATGTCTTTTAAATTACTGAACACGAGACTAGCACAGTCCAGAGTGACAGGCATCCAAAGACCTTCAAGGCTTTACCATGATTTGTGGCACTCTGAGGTATGAAGGTGCAGTTCTCCCAATCCTCCAGCAAGTAACTGAATTCCCAGAGAATAAAAAACATTTCTGACCCACAGGGAATAACTACAGTTTTTCCAATTTCTGGTGCCGTAAATGTGTGACTGCCACTAGCCTCCTTTCACAAAGCCTCACAAGCTTGCTCTTCACTTAAGGAGACACCTGAGAAAATGGAGAGTCTGGAGAGGAGTTTCTCTGCATGTTTCTGTACTTCCACCTTTTTGCTTCATGGCACTGGTACCATTAGTAGTAGTCCATCAGCACCAGCACTCCTTTATCTGGCTGGAAATACTGGGCAGACACCTGGGGCTTTTGGATCAAAACATTCCCTTCTCAGTGCATGTCACTGGAGTTGGCCAGAGCCCATGTTATCTGTCCATCTGCAGTCACAGCTCATCACCTCTCATGGCCTAACCATGTTTCATAAAATGGATTGACTTTATTTTCAGCTGGTTCAATAGAGTAAGTATCACTTACATCCACTTGCTATTTATGTTTTATTTTGAAAGGCGATGCGTCAAGAACCAGAGGGACGGTGCCACCATGCTAATGAATTAATACCACAGCCAGTATCAAAGTTAACTGCCTCTCTGCTTGCTCCTCTGCCTCTTAAAAGCTACTCCTGTTACCATTTCTTCCACCACCCTTTCTTGCATCTCATTTAAATTTGGCCCAAGTGACTCATGTTTTAACTTTTCAGCTGCTGGATGAAGGCTGTTTGCTGAATGCAGGAAATCAGCAGCCCACCTTTTCTAGGCCAGAGGTCTGCAGCTTTTAATTAGCTGCTTTAGAAGTAACAGGATCAAATAATAAACAGATCATGAACCACTCACCATATCCCTCTCAAGATATGTTAGGTGATGTAGAACCTTTCAATACTACAGAGAAATCAAATCATGTTTGCCAAGCACCTACTTAAATATGCATTTAAGAATACCAAGAATCTAGTTAAAAATATAAGTTGGAAACTACTAGATTTGCAAGCACTGGCCAAAATGTTTTGCATTTTATTCTGAATAGCAATAATTCATTTTCATTCCACCAAAGCTGTCAAAAACTCTATATGCAATCTTGTAGCGAGGCTGTTATATACATGCCAAATGCCTATATAGCAAACATCTGGACTTGCTTCTGTTCTAGGATTTGCCAAACGTAAGTCTATCTATTGTTTTTTCTTGTAACTTTTATTTTTTTTCTCTCTCTGCTGTGCCTCAGGTCGTTTTTCTTAAAATGAAATCATTAAAACAGGCAGAAAGAGCGGAGGAAGGAGGAGTAAGAAGAGCTCTAGTATCTGAGTAATCTTCCAGTGGGACTAATTTTACTGAGTATTTGTGCTACTGCTACCAGTCAATCACTACAAGTATTATTGAGAAGCTAAAAAAAATAAAAATTAAACCACATTTAGGAAAGTATATTGGCATAGAGAAAAGGAAAAACAAATATGCTGTTCTATAAACTAGAAGCTCCGTTTACTGAAATGTCCTCAGTATCAATATAAAATGTATTAACATAAAAACCCAACTTGCTGTTCCCTGATTTTGCATTCATTTTACATCCGTACTTCTCTGAGGCAACAGATCAGAATGGTGCATTGCCTTCCCCTCAGGCCAAGTGTAATAAACAGGCAGGTGTAATATAAGGCTGCAGTGTCTCAGCTCTCCTCCCCAACAATTGATCTTCCAGCCCAACAGTGTAATTCCGTCTTGGTAGCTCCCTTCACATGCCTCACTCCTGATCGGTCAATTATTTCAAATCAAGCAGAATTAAAGTGTTATTTTTGTGAGGGAGGATGATATTCACCAGTGACCAACGTGAAACTAATAAACTAATTTCCCTTTACTGCCTTGGGCAAAACAGAAAAATCCAGGTCTATGGGAGAAAGACAGCAGCTGTTTCATCAGTCTGTTGCCCAAATGTGTTTGCCATTTACTATCTTTAAATTGAATTTTTGCTCACAGGACAATTTTGGTAACAGAAGACAAGAAAAGAAAACAACAAAAAAGGCAGTGGTGAGGATGTATGACTGTTCAAGACAGAGCTGTGCAATGCAAGCTTCATGAGAGGAGGGGACAGCACTCTCCTGTTCTCTGAAACAGAGCATATTCCTCCTGTCAGTAGCAAATTTATCCAGTAGATGTCAACACCAGCAAAAAATATGTGTAAAGCCAACCTTAACAGCAACAGTACTCACTTCAATTTACAGTAGCACATCGGGGGACAGTTTAATATCTGGAAGCACTGCACATTTATTTGCTACCATCCCATCCTTGCATCTTCTTGAACGGATCTGGCCTGGCTCATCTGTCCATAAACATATGTAGGGCAAAATAATTTGGTTTTTGCTTTTAGAATAATTTTGTCTGGCCTGCAGAAAAATTGCTGATGAGTACATGATTACTTTCGGATTGGATCGGATGAAATTTTTCTGAGGAGGCGCAGGGAGAAGGGGGGACAAACACCATGCAGTGCAAAGCGACTACTAGAAGCAGAATCTTCATAGTTACTAAATATAATCTGAAGAGGTCTGTTCCCTCCTGACCTTCCACTTGCGTGGTTAAGCAATGCAATGATTTCCCGGATTTTGCTCTTTCCTCAAGAAGCTTCTCAGCCTACAAGAGTGACCTGCGCTTCCCATGCTGACCCCAGGTCAACAGATACTTGTTGTTCCTGTGAGGTTTTTTTGTTTTGCAGTACACCAAGGACAGCCTGTTGTAAGCCTTTTAGTGTTATTATCACTCAAAAGACTGCATTTGCTGACAAGTTTTAACCATGCAAAAACACAAGGCCATTGCTGTTGACACTTTTAAATCTACTATTAAGATCTTACTGTTTGAACAGCTTGTGTGTAGAATCTGAAGTACAGATTTCTGTTTCCTTTTTGTTTATTTTTAGATAAACCTTGTGTTTCTACTCTGCAATGTTTGCATTTGGCTGCTGAGCATGCAGTAACTGCATACATTATATGCACTGCTTAGAGACACTGCCTCGCAGCCCATCAAGTTTTTGGAATAGATGAAAAGAGAAGGGAAATAACAGATCATTTTCCTGATTGATTAATCTTTCTTCACATTGCCGTTTCCCCATACACATGAGGATAACCAAAAGTATGTTGTGACATCCAATAGTGAGCCATTGAAGCAAATTATTTTGCTACTGCTACAAAACTTACTATGGAGTTTGTTTTCAGAGATCTAAAATATAACAAGGAGACATAAATGAAAATATTTTAGAGACATCACTATGAGTATTTATTCCTCACATGCAATTCCTCACAGCTTTTACGAGAAGCATCCATCCAATGATACTGTTGCAGCTTAATTAATCAGTCTGGCTTAAAATTCAGGCTCTCCCTGAAGGCACAAACAGTGGTCAAAGGCAGAGACTGAGAATTACCGTCATCTAAGCAATACTTAGACATCAACAGAAGCAGGCACAGGAAGGTCAGGCACAGGTACTGCGCTCCCACTAAATAATCCCAACAGATGATGGCACTTGAGAGAACAAAATCAGAGCTCTGAACACCAGGGGAAAACCTCAAATGGCGAATCCAGCCCGACGTGGCATGAGGTGCCAGCAGCACGCCCCGTTTTGGGAAGCCACGTCCTGCTCCACAGCTCTGGGTGCCAGCATGCACTACCCAAGACAGAGCCATAAATAGTTTGGAGATAAGACACATATCTTATGAGGCACACCGCAGTTTCACAGCCAGGGATGAGCAATTCTTTTAATTACCGTCAGCATTTTCTCCGAATCCCCGTCTCAAAGAAGAGATGGAAACTTTTGATTTGCTGTGACACCTTGATTGCTGCACGGATGAGTCACCACACCACTCCTGTAAGTCTTACGAATTTATAGATTTTTAGGCCAAAAAGCGCAGGAGGCTGTTACAATTGCTCTGCTCTGACTCTGAACAGCACAGCTCTCCTGGCTCGTCCAGCAGCCTGCCTGCCGGACACAAACAGCGACCAGGAATGTCGTACATAAAATTATAACACATGCCTAAGCTTGCCTGCGAGCACCACAACAGTTCCCTCTCAAAAACAAAAAAAAAAAAGGAAAAAATGCAAAATTATTGATCACTGAACTCATGTACCTCTGAACACTTTTCTTCCTAGAGTTTCTGTGACCTGGGGAGGCTGCAGGGATGGTGTCAAAGGGGGAGGCAGGGGTGACCCTGTGCTGCCCACAGCCAGTTCCCTGTCCCCACTGCAGGGAACCACAGAGCCCTGCAGCCAAACTGGTGGGAGCTCTGTGAAACATTCATAGGAAAGGGCAAGAACACTGCACAGGCAATGAGGATTAAGGAAAAAAAGTATAAGAAATAGTCCTGATGATATCAAAGAGGGAGGAGAAGGAGGAGGTGATCCCAGTACTGGAGCAGGGGTGACTCTGCTGCCCATGGAGAGGACCATGATGGAAGCTGACCACAGGATCATCACAGAATAGTTTAGGTTGGAAGTGACCTCAAAAATCCTCTATTTCCAACACCTCTTGCCACAGGCAGGGACACCTTCCACTAGACCATGTTGCTCCAATCCCCATCCAACCTTGAACCTTTGCAGGATGGAGTATCCACAGCTTCTTTGGGCAAACTGTGCCAGTGTCTCCCCATCTTCACAATAATCTCTTCCTAATATCCAAACTAAATCTCTTTTATTTTTAAGTCATTACTCCTTGTCCTATTACTATGCCCCTGCAAGAGGTCCATCTCCAGCACTGTGTTTTTTCCCCCAGATATCCACACTGCAGCCCATGGAAGACCTCTCCCCATGGAGAGGAACCCATTCGGAAGCAGGATTCAGGCAGGAGCTGCAGCCTGTGGAGGAGGATCCATCCTGGAACATGTTTATCTGGAGGAACTGCAGCCCTGCCAAAGTTTAAGTTTTTTCCCCAGAATCTGCCAAGGCAGCTCATGCATTCATCCTCTGTAGTGGTAGAGAGGAGGGACATAAAGGACTGAATATTTCTGTATCTGCAATATATTAGTGTATTTATGAAAGACACCATGGGGAAGACCTTCTACATAATTTCGAAGGCTGGCTTTTGCTTAATTTCATGCTTTGAAGACATGTGCATTCCCAGTTTCTTTCACTTTTTTCCCTATGCATTCTATTATTATCTTTTTGCCTATCCACTTGTAAACAATTTCTAAGCTGACGTATGTGAACAAGCTGCTTGGAATGATCTTCACAGACAGAGTGCTCTACCAATTGGTTTCCTGAATGAAGTACATATCCATACCATTTCCTTGATCTTCTAGGTAAGTAATCACATCCATGGAGGATGGATTAGACATACACTTTGGAATAATACCTGTCTATAACTAGCTGTCTTATTTCCCAGTGTTCACATAATGGCCCCATTACATGCTTTATTACTGTGGCCAGGCTAAACAGAGCCATTTGTTTAGAATTTTCCTTTCTTTTCTTCTTTATTAGAAGGAAAGTCCAACTTTGTTTACTGAATCCTATGATATTCTGAAATTATTTTCAATGTTCCTGAAGACTGCCTCTGCTAATTCTTTAGAGACAGACTCTCCAGAGCATTTTGTAAAAAATTCTTAATACTCAATTTTGCAAGATGTCCTTTTTTCTCCTGCTTTGGTCTTCATTTGTAAAGTTACAGTTTCTAGCAAATTTTTCCCACACAAGGTTACACAGTTTATTGTATTTTAGGACAATGATAAGCGTTTATGTGGCACTCTTTGCCTTCAAAGCACTTTACAAACATTAAATATTTAATGCTTATGGCATCACTCTTACTCTCAACCTCATTTTACAGGTAGGGAAAGAGACTTACAGGTTAAGTGATTTTGTTTCAAGTCACATCACAAGTTACTGACAGATGTGAGACCAGAATATATGAGCTCAGATTTTCAGTTCCGTACTCAAAACTAGACCAGCCTTGTTCTTTCACTCAAAATAATATAAATAATAATGAAAATCCTTGGTCCTGTTCAGAGAGAACTTAGCTCTTTGGAGGTTCTACATACAACAACAACAACAACAAACCACAGGAAAAACACGCCAAAATTACCCAGGAGGGCACCTACCAGCTTTGTAACCCATGTCTTCCCTTTCCAGTGTTTTAGAGGGAAATCCGCAATTGGACATTATCAGGAAAGGGGTCAGCATGTTTCAGGCATCTATATACAGCCAAATGCACACACACACACACACACACACACACACACACACACACACACACACATTCTCAACCACTGCCTAAACCAAGAACAGAGACCTTCCAGCCAGAGAAGAATTTGCAATTTAAAATCCAAAGTACATTTCAAAATGGCATCACTAAACAGCTTTGGTATTTGATAAGAAGATTACAGTACATTCAATTGCATACAGCCAAAGCCTTTTAAAATAAAGTACAGGAATAGTGAAGCCAGGCATTTGCAACTAGATAACACGGAGCTAATCGGGCAGTGCGAAAGGTGTGCCCTGCTGCAGGGAGCGTGCAGGAGCCAGGCAGCTTTTGGAACTCAAATAATGAGGGGGATTTTTTTTTAGCTTTAACATTTTTCATAATCTAAGCAGGAGGTCTAAACACAGGCTGTATGCAACACTAACTGTATTTCCATTTAACAGGCTCCTATGGGAACAAATGTTCAGTGTCAGGCTGGTACTATACGTCCATTTAATTGAGCTGAGAGAACTCTACTGCCCTCGAAGAAAGCTCATCTCTTCTCTCCGTGGATGTGACTATAGAGCTAGCAGATAATATCTCACTCATTATTTATACAACCACGTAATTATCTCCCAGAGATTCCCCATTTTGTAGAAGTTTCTTTTTTGGAAACATCATCTGTTGGCTGAATGGAAAGCCAAATACAGCCTCCGATACTGTGACAGTGAGTGCCAGAGCATCCTTTGCTAACACACGTGGGAAACAGCACAGGAGTCTGCAGTACCACTCACATGGGGGATGTACTCCTGGCATTACACTGGATCTGTTTAATTCTCTTGCAAAATGCAAGCACATGTGCAAGATCAACAGTACACAAAACACACTCAGATTTTAGAGAAACATTGTAATGGTAGGAGCCAAACATGAACAAAAAATAAATCTGCATATTGCACAATTGCCTCCTCTGTGCCATTGGGTTCTGTCTCACCGTTTACTGCTCTGGTGCCACCAGATCCAAACCCCTTGATACCTGTTTAAAAGTGACAGAATCTTCTGAGGTCAAGAATATTATTATCCCTCCTCTTCAGCTGGTGACATGAGGATGGAAAGAATATGAACCAAAACTAGAAGATGCCCTCAGGTACGGAGGGCAGAGGTCAGACATTATATCCAATTTAAACATGTGCAAAACCCCTCTAGGCTTGTGTACCTCAGAGTCTGCAGGAAGCCACATTATTGCTAATAAAGCTATTTAGGTGCCCAATGTCCTGCTGTTGCATAAACCAAAGAGAACATCATTTGCCCACTTATCACTGCAGGATTGCTGGAAATTCCCAAATGAGGTACCACTGCCCAAATCCTCTGGTGTCATGTCACTCCAAAACACAGGGATGCTTTGAGCTGAGCACCAAGGGGAGGTAATACATTGTGACTCATCTTGCTGAGGGATCTGGTTTCCAGCTTTGGCTCCCTATATAACTGAAGCACAAGGCATTACAGAAATCTGCTGGGCTCAGAGTTTTCATGCCAGAAACTGGACGTCAGTGTGCCCAGAACGGCCATGCTCAGTTACCTGAAAAAGGAGGCTAAAGCTCTCTTTCAGGTGGTGCTGCTGGTTTTTAACTCCACCTTTAGACCCAAGACAAGGAGTGGGTACAATCCTCTGTTCTTTCAGGTGTCCTGTGTCACTGCAGGTTCAGCTCAACAGAGCACTGGAGTTCACCAAGAGACATGAGAAAAACAACCAAGGACATGGCAAATGAACACCACACCCCCACCACAGTTCTAACAGAACTTATGGGCAGGCTTAGCCCACACCCACATCTCAGTCAAAGCTCAAGAGAGAGGGCACTGGTGTTTCTGTAATTCAGCAAGCCTGCCATTACCTTCCTCAGGCAACCCCATGCTCAGCTACTGCACGAGGTACAGGCTTCTGCCTTCCCGCTTCGATGGAGGCTGGTTTGTTTTTTTTTCCCCCATTTAATTTTGAAGATTATAGGATTTACACTTATTCTGGTAAAATATTTTGTAGCACTGCCATCAAAGAGCAGAGAGGAGGCAATACACACATATTATGAAAGCTCTGGCATTATAATATGTAGCTTTTCTGTTATAAATTACATTGACCAGCTAAAGTACAGGTTACAGTAAAGTCTGCACAAAGTCATATTGTGGCAGTAATGCACATATGGAAGAAAAAAGAAACAACAATTTTCTTGTGCATTTTAATACACTTAGCAAAAATGGCCAAGATTGAATTCCTCATGGAGAGAAAGCCAGACCTTACTCATGAAGTCACTGTGGTTTTGGTTTTTCTCTAATGAGAAAAACACCTACGCAGTTGTCACAACTAGGGAAATACCACACACCACTGGATTAAAGTCCTTTTCAGGAATGTACAAAACACAGTTTGCTGTTACTGCCTTTTTTTAATCTTGAACCACTGTCTTTCTGAAGCAGCCAAGGAAACTTGACTATCATACTCGCTGGCCCTACAAGCCCAAGGCCAGCTACAAGCCCAGGCACTGTACCCATCCTTTCACCCCTCCAATGCTATGACTTGGGGGTAGCTCAGGCTCTCTACCCTGGCAGCACTGAGTCCCCAGAGTAACAGGAAAGGCTTGAGGAAAGCTCAGAAAAGGAGATCCCAAGTTAGATCAGAGGAGGGTTGGGAGGGTGAAGGAGCAACAACAACCCACCTCCAGATGCAGCTCAAACCCAGGACTCTGCAGCCCCCTGATGCCTTTCCCAGTTTTCTCCCGCAGTGTTAATTAATCTTTCAATCAATTTTCCCCCTTTATTCCCATCATATCTCCCATTTCTGCTCACCACCTTCCCTTCTACCACATCCAGGTTTCTTTCTCTCTTTGCTTCATGTACAGGGAAGAATTCCTCCAAGACCTTCCCCAGTCCTCAAACAAGATTGCCTCAAATAGCTGGTATGCAAAACTTGCTTTACTTATGTACTCATACCTTTTTGACCTTGCTTTATCCAACTTAAAATCCCCAAGTGAAATCATTAGGTGAGAAAAAATGACCTGATGTTCCAAGAATTTGGCAAGCTCATTCCATTAAAAAGAAACAAAGGACTCGTATCCTAATCTCAGACGTAGAGAGGAGGAAACTGAGGTGAAGAAGCAGGTGGGAACATAGCAGTGATGAAATGGAAGTGACAAGCTTATAATTTATTAAGTTTCTAAGCATAGTTTCATCCAAAAACCAGGGGCAAAAGAAGTTCCCTCCTAAATAAGGTATTGAGCAGAAACCTTTAAGAGAACCAGCAACCCCATTCTGTTCCAATCCAGCTGTCTACAGCTAACCCCTCATAGGGGACTTTAGTTTTGAACAATTAATTTTATTCGCTTAGAAGGGAAAATGTAAGCAACCAGCAGGAAAACCTGCCAATTGACCAACCATTTCTATTTGTGATGGAATTCATGGAGTTAATCCCAGAGTGCAGTTTGTTCCAGGAGCATCCCTGCCACATCTCAGTGCTTGGGTGCAAAAGAAGGGCCAAAAGAGGGGATTATGAATTTGTGAGTAAAAACAAAGCACTGGCTCTCAATAGAAACATTTTAAGGATGGCATACATTAATTTATTCTCTTCTGCACTGCCTCTGCATACCCGCTGCTGGCAATGTGACAACATATAAGCACTGAATGTTGTGCTTAGTAGCTTAAGAGCTCCAAGACAGATTGTCATTTTGCTCATTCTTCCTGGGCCAAAATGTGTTTTCCCAGAAAAAAAATAAATAAATCCCCTCTTCCCAAAACAAATACACCCCCCTTCCTCCCCCGCAGTCATCTTCAAATTTCGAGAAGAATTGGAGTGGCACCACCCTTGGAGGAGGCAAAGTAGGGAACGCATCCTCAGGAGGTTTTTATTCTAGACAGAGAGCCTCTCCCCAAGACAGCGTTTTGCCAACACATGGAGAGTTTTGAAAATGAAGGCAAAAGCCTTCCATTTGAGTGAATTCAATGGGAAGGCAGCACGGCGCACAGAGCACCGGGGCAATTTGCTCTTGGCAGCCTCTCTCGCTAAGTAGGTGGGCTGCGCTCAGCGCCAATTAGGGGCTGACGCTTTTCCTCAGGTACAATGCACTGCGACACGGCTCGGACTGCTCCTCCCTCCCTGCATCTGTGTTTACTGTGGCTGTTCATTTTCCCCCTTGGCAAGGGGGATGTTTAATAAAGCAGGCCATTCCCCAGCTACAAAGGTGCTATATCATCCTTGGGTGTATGTACACATATGGTATGAAATTGAATGCAGCTAAAAGTCAAAGCAACTCCTGCCAGAAATTTTTGATGGCAGCGTTGGGGAACGAAGCAGTTCTCTGTTTTCTGATACTGGGTGAAAAGGGGAGAGACAGCATGGTGGGTTTCGCTCCAAAGTTAAAAGGGAATCATAAGAGTGAAGAAAAAGAAGCAATATTCAGATTTCTAAATTCCCTGTTTCCAGTTCAAGGTCTAAGTTTTCTTTTGGCTTGTGCTGCTCTACAAATGGAGCCAAAGAGGTTCTCGATCCAGCTTTTGATTTCCTGCTGTGCTAAGCTACAGGAATGCTCACATCTAGGCTCTGCTTTGGTCCTGTCTCTAATTAAGGCAGCTTATTTTTTCAAACATGCTACCTGAGACCTGCTGATGTTGCTCCAGGTCATGCAGCCATGCTTCAAACTGCTTTCTAATATACCTAATAGTGCCACAGTGATATGTTCAGCTTATTACTGTTACAGAAGCAGTTGGGTCATGGTATTCTCTGCAAAATACTTCTGTAATGGAGTGGATTAATTTAATGAATGCCATTTACTGCAGCAGAAGTGACAATGATTTGATGTTTTGTTACAATTAAGACTCATTAGCCAGTGACTTTTTTCTTAGTTGTCTGACAACCATATTAGATGTAGCACATCTCAGATACAAAAGTTCTGAACTTCCTTCTAGTCATTTTTAATAAATATGAAGGAAGTGAGAATGAAAGTCTTGGCACTGGGCTGCTTGAAGTGACCTGTTTGAGCGATGCCACGTAGGCCTCCCTGCCCAAACTACCGAGAGGAAACTGCACCAGCTTCCAAGAAATCACTGGATCATACCTGGCACCGAAACTTTCAACCAAACAGCTGGAAGTTTAATCCAAAACATCTCACCACCTGGCTAAGACACAAAAAGGCTTTTGAGAAAGCAGACAGAGCCAGGTCTTGATGCTTTTAACAAGATCCCAGAGCACTGCCAAGACAGGAATCCCTGCACTGGAGAACCTGCTTGTGGAGGGCGCACTGTGCTCTGCCACAGGACTGATGGTAAACTCAAACTTGATTTTAGTAACCATCTCTCCTCTCTCAGTCAGCACCTGAATGCTGAGGAATGATCCCCATGCTCTTCTACCAATGCAAAATCTTTTGTTCCTTGGGAGCACAACTCCTTTGCTTTTGCAAATCCTGAACAGCAGTATGCAGAACACAAAGAAACAGAAACAAAATCCCCTGAAAAAGAAAAAAACGCATTGCCAAGTGAAACCAATATTGGCCAAACCAATGTCACCAGGCTCCAGGTTAAGTTTTCAGGCTACAAGAAGCCAAAAGCCAAACTAATATTTTTGCAGATGCAGCATTCCCTAGCATTGCTGGGGACAGAAGATCATGCTCAGCTGTACAACCTGCAAATATATCTTACTCAGCACAGAAGGGAAGCTACAAAACTAATTTAATTAGTTGTCTAAGTCAACAGCATTTAAAATCTGGATAGCACAAATAGTATATTTAAAAAAAAAAAAAACCTCAGCACTTTACAAATATGCCCCAAATCCTCAGAAAGGCCCATAAATGCAAAAGGTTTAATTTAAAAAAGAAAATTAGGTATTATTTAAAGAAAAAAATCCCTAAAATT